GGCGACGTTACGACGACGCTCCATGCAGATTTTGCACATATTCGTTTCATCAAAATTCGCAATTTTCTGATGCGCGAGCAGCTCGACAAGCGGCCAATGTTTATGCAAAGCCGCTAAGCACAACGGCGTTTGACCTAGATTGTTGCGCAGATCGACCTTGGCGCGGCCGCCATTCTGCGAGAGGAGAATGGCCGCGACTTCCCTGTGCCCTTTCGAAGCCGCTAAATGCAACGCTGCGTTTCCGTCCTCCATTTGCACATCCACCAAGTGATGCGCGTGTGTAACCAGCCTTTCCATTGCACTGAAAATTTATCGATTCACATGGTTTAATTGATCGATTGAATTTTAAGCGTAGCCAAGCTGTTGCTACACAGACGTGACCGTATTAAGTCGTTATGTGACTATACTTTGTAGCGTTTTATACACGTACTCAGCGTTGCCCCTGAGCGCGGCGATATGTAGGATGTTGCAACCGAATTCGTTCCTCAGCGTGAAATCGACCCTCCCGGAGGAGCATAACGCGTCGATTATGTCCAGCTTCACTTTCCGCGTCGACACAGGGTCATCAAGCAATTCATGCAATGCTGTGTTGCCATCCAAGTTCTGGAGATTGACGTCGCAATGATAACGCAACAGCACTCTCACGCATTGCATGTACTGCTGGCAAACTGCCATATGCAGAGCACTACATCTGTCGTTGTTAACAGAATTGATAGCCGCGCCTCGCGATAACAGTAGATCCGCCATCTCCGACTCGTCGCTGTTTAATTAGAGAGTACCGATATTAGTTTAAGTACGTCACGGCAGAATCAGCAACGACTTCCAACTTACTTTTTTACCGCGTAATGTAAGGGCGTGTTTCCATCCTTGTCGACTACATGTATAGAAGCACCAGCGTCCAGAAGAAAGGTGCAGATCTCATGGTAGCCAAGCAGCGCAGCCAAATGAAGAGCACATTCTTTATCATTGTTGACAGCATCGATGGCTGCGCCGTGCAATAACAGTAGCTCCACCATCTCCGACACGGTGCTGTTTAATTAAAGAGTACCGATATTAGTTTGAGCAAGGCAAAACCAGCAACGACTTCCAACTTACCTTTTT